ATTGAAATGAATTAGCCATGGATTTACATGTATTCCCCATCCCGGTCCCCCCTCCCACCTCCCTCTCCACCCGATCCCTCTGGGTCTTCCCAGTGCACCAGGCCCGAGCACTTGTCTCATGCATCCAACCTGGGCTGGTGATCTGTTTCACCCTAGATATACATGTTTCAATGCTGTTCTCTTGAAACATCCCACCCTTATATACCATTTTCTATACACTCATTGGTCATCACTGAATATAGATACCTCACGTATCCAACCCCATGGTAATTCATTGCATTGTCTTTTTCAGGCATCCTCTTTCAATTCTATGTACTTTCTGTAAAATGTCTTCTAAAAATGACCCCTTTACTTTCCTCTAATTCTAATAGCTTTCTAACATCAGTCCCTTATTTTCTACTAATATTTCCACCAGCTCTCCATGACTGTACAGCACAAAACTGAAATGGGTCCTGTGCTTACCCTGATTAATACACTTTAGCCTCTCAGCTCACAGGTGATCAAACTTGCCCAAGGTCATTCGGACAGTAAGGGGCATACATGCACATTGGGTTCCAGGCAAGAGGACTATTTGCCAGTATTCCCTCCCTTGGTACACCTGGGTACTGCATGGGAAACTCTCTCTCCACTCATCACCTTCTCTGACCTGCCAAATTCTTATTGGTCCTTTGAGGCTTAACTCAAGGGTCACCCCCTCCATGAATCTTCTCAGTTTTCTCTGCCCTCTCCCCCACCTGGGTTGGGTGTCTCTGCCAATGGTGTAATCGTCACCTGACCCATTGATCTCCCTCACTAGGCTGCAGGCTTCTCCAGAGCAGTGAAAGGTCTGGGTCTTGTCTTGGGATTCCCAGTACCGGAACGAGGCATGGCACATGACACATACAGCAAACGCTTGCTGAAAACTGAGCGGTGACCCCTCTTCTCTGATTTGGCCAAAGGCCTGATGAATGACATCGTCTAACCAGCAGCAGAGACTTCTCATCATGAGCAATGCCATGTTCGCCACTTTCCATGAACTCATCCTCTCACTAGGTTTACAATGAGACAAGTAGCTACTATGAGTTGAGGAACTAGCACTTCTCAGACACCAACATGAATGCTCTGTGCACAGTATGCTTATCCTGGCGACACTGTCCAGGGGACGTCATCCTCATTTTATGGCTGAAGCTCAAAATCAGTTACTTATCCTAAGTAATTGGCCGCAAGTCACACAGAAGGAAGGCTTTGTTTTAAAAGTGTGTATAGAACACTTAGAGTCATCTGTGTCCTGGAGAGATTCACTGAAATTTCAAATTACTTCAGGGCCTTAATTTGGATGCTAGAGTCATGGAAGCATGGTCAACTATGATTTATAGAGGATCAAGGCAGTTCTATCATGTGCATTATCCACAGCGGCAAATCATGGCCGTAGTCCTAATTTTCCTAAGCAGATAGATAGGGATTTATAACACCTATTTACCTCAAAGGGAATTGAATATCAAAGGTCATATCTGCCAACATGCTTTGTTAAAGAAGAGGGCAGAAGCCCATCTTGGTATACTCTGCTGCATAAAAAGCTAGGTGCAGTGTTTCTCAAAGACTGGGCTTCCCAGCTCAGTGGTAAAGAATCCGCCTACCATTTGTGCAGATGCAGGAGATCCAGATTTGATCCCTGGGTCAGGAAGATCCCCTGGAGAAGGAAATGGTAATCCACTCCAGTATTCTTGCCTGGGAAATCCCATGGAGAGAAGAGCCTGGTGGACTACAGTCCATGGGGTCACAAAGGCTCAGACACCACTGAGTGAGCATGTTCTCAAAAATCAGTGGGAGAAGCCTAGGCATCAGAGCTACCTGAGGGGTTAACAGAAGATGGGAGATGCCTGGCTGGGAATCCACACTTAACAAGCCCCCAGATGATTCTATCAGACAGAAAAGTTTAATAAATACCAGGTTAGGACAATGCTTCTCTAATGTACATAGGACTCACTTGGGGATGTTATTAAGAAGAGATTCTTATTCAGTGGACATGGGGTCGGGGGAGGGTGGGTTGAGATTCCACCCGTCTTACAAGCTCTCAGGGAGGTCAATGTTGCTGGTCCATGGATCACATTTGAGTGGCACGGGTTTAGAAGATCTACCCCTAGTGGAACAAATTAGCTTTGCTTTATTCCTCAACCACAGGCTGCATTGCCCAAGTTCAGGGAGGATTCCATAAAGCCCAAATTCTCAGTATTGGTACAAAATCACTGCAACAACTCAAAACCAACTGGAATGCATTCTCTATCATGAGGGAAGGGCAGCAGCATCCTTTTCAGATATAGACAGCACATATGTTTAGCATGTGAAAGAATAATTAACTTACTATTACTTGAGTCCTGCTGTGTGTCTGCCTGCTCAGTCCTGTCCAACTCTTTGTGACCCCACAGACTGTAGCCTGCAAGGCTCCTCTGTCCATGGGATTTTCCAGGCAAGAATACTGGAGTGGGTTGCCATTGCCTTCTTCAGGGGATCTTCCTGACCCAGGGATCAAATTGCGTCTCCTGCATCGGCAGGCAGATTCTTTACCACTAGCACCACCTGGGAAGCCCAACTTGAGTCCTATTTACTGTGAAAATCATTATATATATGTCTCTGTGTGTGTGTGTATAAATGTAAGGTGGATATTCCTGCTCTATACATAAGCAAATAAGGACCTGGAAAGCTGAAATGACTTGCTCAAGGTCACGTGGCTAATTATGTGCTGCAGCTGGGGCTCCAATCCTGCTCCACTGGGATCCAAAGCCTGTCCTTGCCCATTGTCCACGGTGCTAGATATGACAGTGGTATAAATGTGACAGCCTGAGACGGGGGAGGGGGGAATGTTCCTCCTATACTGGTATTTGAGTTTAAAGGCTTTACTGAGGCAGACTCTGGATGGGGGTGAAGAAGGGAAAAAGGTGAATTAATCAGTGATCTATGTTGCCTCACGGACATAAACATACAGATAGCATCCTTGTCCATGGTTCCCATAAATCTGAAAGTGCAGATGGAATAAAAAGGACATTAGTAGCCAGTGCACTGATCCTAAATGTTCCCACCCCACCTCAGGTTTCCAGACGTACAGCTCAACCAATAAAGAGGAAGAATTCTTCCTGATCCTTGTGGCCTATTAACTTCCACTTTCTGCTGTAGGAGGTTTCTGTAACTTAAAAGTTCATATGAAACCAGCTGACCCTGCCATGTCACTTCACAGCTGCCACACATCTCTTTCTCTGATAAACCTGCTGGCATCTGAAAAAAAAAAATGTACTCTCTAGTCAAATACACTGAAAATGCAGCAGTTTTGAAGGTTTTTTGAGTAACAAAATTTTCTGTGTTTTTCATAAGGCTGACGTGGAGAGAAATGCATGGCAATAAAGATGCTCAGAGAAAGCAGTCGAATAGGTACAAAGGTAGATTAAATGGAGGAAAGAGCTATATAATGAAGTTCCCAGGCATTTACTATCCGGTGTCTTTAGCAATTAATGCCCCATTAGGTTGAGTGTCCACAATCAGCTTTTTAGCCTTGGGTCTCTCCACTATTATAATTAGTATTCACCAGCTTAACTGTCATTTTCTAAAGGTTCATCTATAATATCAGTACAACTCTTTACCTATTTGATGGAAAAAACGATACAACTAGAAAGCTACATCTCCTTAAATTAGATATATATGGCAGTCTAAAACCAAAGAATTTTGCCCCTATGGTATGTATTCTCTACACATGATGTTTCAAAAACAAAGACTGAAACCTAAAACAAACAAACCAAAAAACTGACTTGAAAACTTACTTAAAAGTAAAAAAAAAAAAAAGCGTGTGTGTTTTGAACAGAAGGTAAGAAACAGAATTTGGACCACTGATTTCAGACCAGTAGGCATTTCCTATTTCATTCCCTCAGCTCAGAGAACAGTTCGGCTCTCAAAAAAACCGAACTAAAGGTCCTCAGAAACCAACTTGGTATTTTTCTGGCGAGTTTTCACTGAAATGTTTGGACATGAACATGTTTGCAGTGAGTCATAATTTATAGGACATTAGTGGCCAATGCCTTCTGTGCTTTTCTTCCTACATTCAATATCATTTTCAAACGAGCTGGTAGTACATTTTGCAGGCCCTGATAATTTTTAGAGTTACCAGATCTCAGATAACTAAGGCTGCCACCAGCACCCTTTCTCGTGATAATTTTTTATGGTATCTAGGAGAGAACCCCATTCCCTTTCTAAACTACATGCCTTTCGCCAGGGAAAAGGCGCACGCACCGTTTTTAAGATGCCCAAAGAGAAGCTGAGGGGTCTTCAGGGGCACGCCAAGTCAGAAGGCGACGGGAAAGGTTAATGGGCAGTCGCTCTGGGCAAAGGCCGACGTAATAACAGGATACGTTCGTTTCGAGAGGAAGCAGGATAGCCGCGAGGCAGGAAAGGCGGCGTCAGCGGCACCCAAAGGAAACGGGCGTGCGGGGGTTCGCGGGGACCTGGCCTGCTTAGGGGCTCCCGCTCCAGTCCGGTCCGAGGCTCGGAGCACCTCACCCGGGGAGGGGCGACGGGATCCACCTCAGGCCTCCTGGTACGAGTGCTTCTGGTGCTCCCTTCCACCTCCGCCAAAGATGGGGAATGGGAGAAGGGAAAAAGCCGAACACCGGGGGCTGCGGCAGGTGAACTCGGCAACAAGTCAAGTCCCCGCCCAGGAGGGACCGCGGGGTCCCGGGGCCGGCAGGGCCGGGGAGGCGAGGCCCGGCGCGGGCGGGGTGCGCGGGCGGGGGAAGGGTGCCGCCGACGCGGAGCCCAGAGCTGCGGCCGGAGCCCGGAACGCGTCCCTCCCGCTGCCCCGGGGCGGGCGCGCGCTCTCGAGGCGCGCGCATCCTCCAGACCTTCCCAGGCCCCAGGGCGGAGGCGGGGAAGGGGAAGGGGCTTGTGGCGGTGCCCGCACGGGGATGGGGGGGCAGGAGGAGGCGACCTGTCTGTCACCCAGCGCGCGGAGGGCAGGGCTGGCAGCCCCAGGCTGGCGCCCCCGACCGCCCCAGCTGCCGGGAATCTCCCGCGGCAGCCTGCCGCCCGCCCGGCTCGCCCCCGCCCGGGCCCCGGAGGGCAGGTACCTCGGAGCCCCGGCCCCCGGGAGCCTCCCGGCCGCGAACGGAGCGTTCCTCCAGCTCCCTCATCCGACGTCAGCGTCAGCAGAAGGCGAGGGAAGGGGGCGGAGGGAGCACAGGAACCGGTCCTTCCTGCGGCGGTCGCCGCCAGCCGGAATAGCAGCCGGCGGAGCCCGTGCGCGCCGCAGCGCAGCGCAGCGGTCGGGGGGAGCGGGCGCCCCAGCCTCCCCGCGAGCTCCTAGGGCCGCGAACCCGCCGTCGCCTCCCCTCCCTGTTTCTCCCCCTCCGAGGACGCCCAGCGGGCGACCCCTCTCAGCAGGACCCCGGGACCCAGAGCAGGGAGGGGCCGATGGCCTCACCTCGTTTGGGGCGGGTCCGGGATGGGGGGCGTGAGTCCCCGTCTCTCTACTCCCTCGGGTCCTTGCTCGACCCCCATCTCCTGGGGTGTCCCCCGCTCGGATCCACCGCCCAGGGTGACCCCGCCCCGGCTCTCCTGCAGGTGTTCCACGTGTCCATAGAATTTGCGTCACAATGACCTGGCCGACAGGTGGGAGCAGCCGCGGACGCCCCAGGGTTTCCACTGTGCTGTGCGTTGCGCGTGCGACTTCCCTCCACGATTGATTTCCGTGGCTTTAGAGGACAGGACACGTCTTGACTCCAATGCCAAAAAAAGTTACAGAGCACTGGGAAGACCCAGAGGGATCGGGTGGAGAGGGAGGTGGGAGGGGCGATCGGGATGGGGAATACATGTATATCCATGGCTGATTCATGTTAATGTGTGACAAGAACCACTGCAATATTGTGAAGTAATTAGCCTCCAACTAAAAAAAAAAAAAAAAGTTACAGAGGCCTTTATCTCAGAATCAAGTTTGGGCTTAATGGTAAAAGGCTCTATGAAAAGAAAAACAACTGTATATATATATATATATATATATATATATATATATATATATATATATATATATATACACATATACATATATATATATTTATCCCCATATATTCACATATCTTTTTTTCTTACGTTACTGACACTTAACAGTAATTTCATCTTCTCTTATTCTTTGTCAACAGGAAAGAAGCAACCTCTTGTTTTTGAGTAGCCTGCTGTGATCACATGAAGAAAAGGTGTTGCTTGCTAAAATCATCTATGCTGAAAAGCAGTCTTAATGTGCTATGACTCATCCCTCATGTTATATATTTCTTAAAAGGTTCATTGAATAGTCACTGACTGAAACAATTTAACAGGGTGAAAGGAAAGATGGTTGAGTAATGACACAAACAAGCCTGAAATCCACAGGTAGCATGAATGGGCAGCTTGTTATGTGCCAGGCATATGCTGTGCACTTTACGTTTACTGTAATCCTTCACCAGCCCAATAATGTGGTGGAGTATTATCCACATTTTACAGAGGTAACCGTTGCCGAGTGCCACAAAGACATTCAGCTAATAGGATGCTGAGCGTAAGTTTGAATCCAGGGTTGTCTGAACCAAGAGGTTTAATCTCGAGATAGAAAGGGGCTTCCCTGGCGGCTCAAACATTATAGAATCCCCTTGCAGTTCAGGAGATCCGGGTTCAATCCCTGGATCAGGAAGATCCCCCGGATAAGGAAGTGGCAACCTACTCCGGCACTCTTGCCTGGACAATTCCATGGACAGAGGAGCTTGGTGAGCTAGTCCATGGGGTTGCAAAAAGTCCGATAGGACTGAATGGCTAACATTCAGGATAGAAAGGTGTCTGACCAAGATGGAAACAGAAAAAGTATAGAAGATGTTGATCTTTTAATAGAAAGGTGGTAAGATGGTACAGCTCCAGGAATTTATATAACCTTTAAAGTTGACATAATTCTCTGGATATATTCTTTGGGGTTTCTGTTTGTCACAGATGGATTTGAGCCTGCCCCCGTAGGGCACAAAATATAGAGCTGAGCAAATATCAAGTCCTTAAAAAATGTGAATAAACCAAATGCTGAATGAATAGGATCTACAAAACAGCAAATTGATAAGAAGCTGAGATTCAGGAGAAATTTGGGAAAAGAAAAACATTGCTCATATATAACTGAAATTTATAAGAAGCCTTCAAATGAATCTGTTGATAACACAAGCCAAATGATTGTCCTGTTTATAAAAAGGGGGAAAAATCCTTTTAAAATGAGAAAAAAAGACTTCCTTGCAAAAGGGAGATGATTAAGATATTTTGTTTTAAAATATTTGATTCCAAGAACATTAACTTGTAAAAACCTAGCTGAGGGAGTTTAAAAGAAACATTTTTTAACAGAATGAAGTGTTATTTGTAACATAGTAGTTGCTCAATAAATGTTGCTGAATGTATCAATTAGTTAATCAAAGCATTGAGAGAAATAGGTCATAAAATTTCCTGATTCTAATGTTCTCCTTTCCACCAATGGTTATTTACTGAAAATGTATTAGAAGTCCTATTTATTAAAGATTGGCTTTGTGGTAGATACATTTGTTAATGAGCTTTGGCATCAATGAGCTTTAGACATCTAGAGCCAGTAGAATGGCAGGTTGCTTGTGTATTCACAGTATGTTCTCAAAATGCAAATAATTGGAACACAGTTACTGGGGGGAGTGAGAAAGAAAGCTGATTCCTGAAACTAATTACTCCGGTTTCCTTTTACCTAACAAAAGGCTATGTTAATCAACATGACACTGAAATGCCTTGGGTTTAACATAAAGAGTTTAACATTAAGTGTTAAATGACTTTTCATCATTATTTGTGTTGTCCTAACGTTGAAGCTGAAACTCCAATACTTTGGCCACCTCATGTGAAGAGTTGACTCATTGGAAAAGACCCTGATGCTGGGAGGGATTGGGGGCAGGAGGAGAAGGGGATGACAGAGGATGAGATGGCTGGATGGCATCACCGACTCGATGGACATGAGTTTGAGTAAACTCTGGGAGTTGGTGATGGACGGGAGGCCTGGTGTGCTGCGATTCATGGGGTCACAAAGAGGCAGACATGACTGAGCGACTGAACTGAACTGAACTGAACTGAACATTGGGGATAATACTTAAAGGAAGAAATAATAAACTGGTGCTTGTCCTGCATTGCCACAATGAGGGCTTTCTCTTCCCATTTAAAAAGTTGCTCCATTTATAATACTTCCATTCCTTCTGTATATCAAGTTGTTTCAGTCTTGCAGAGCACCTACAAGGTGCTAGTGAGAACCGGAAACAATTTCTGAGAAGATTGGCTTTGTGGTGGATACATTAGTTAATGAGCCAGATCTAGACATCCAGAGCCAGTCGGATGGCAAGTTGCCTGTGTGTTCACAGTACCTCCTCAAAATGCAGGTAACTGGAACACAGGTACTAAGAAGAGAATGGCTATTGAACGCTGGAATGTGAAATTGTGGAAGAAATATGTGCATTTCCTAGAATGTAACAGGATCAAAAAATCTTTACATACTCAATGATCTTTTTGGGGGTGCTTCCCAGGTTCTAGATTGCTAATGGGACCACATGAATTAGGAATTGTGTTAGGCTGCCCTTAGCAGAGACACACAATAACAGCGGATTAAATGAGATAGAGATTTATTTTACTCCCACATTAAAAGAATTGGAAAGTAGGCTGCCCAGGGCTGTATGGCCTCTGCTAGCTCCTTGGGGTGTTGCCCTCCACTCCTGTGCCACCATTCTTAGCAAATAAGCTATTATTTAAAGAAAAATCCAAGCTGCAATGTGGAGAAATAGGAGCCTTCATACGTTGCTGGTGGGAATGTAGAAGGATGTATCCACTTTGAAAAATGATCTGGCAGTTCCTCAAGTAATTAACATAGTTAACGTATGAGCCAGCAATTCCAACCCTATGTATATAGCCACGAGAAATGAAGACCTCTGTCCACCCAAAAACTTGCACATATAGCCGCATTATTCAAAGCAGTCAAAAGGCGAAAACAATCCAACTATCTACAAGTGGATGAATGAATTAATAAAATGTAGTGCAGTGGAATATTATTGGGTCGTGAAAAAGGACAAAATACTGATACATGCTGTGTCTTGGATGAAACTTGAAAACATTCTAAGTGAAAGAAGTTGCCACAAAAGTCAATGTATTATATGATCCCATTCATATAAAGTCTAAGATAGGGAAATCTACAAAGTAGATTGGTGTTTGCTTAGGGCTGGAGAGGAAAAAAATTACATATATATATATATATATATATATATCAACACAAATACATGCATGAAATGTATGTATGAATATATAGAGAGACAAATTATCCATCTACATATTATACATTTTAGTGTACTGTTTATAATATATTTTAATGTTCTGAATGCTGCTTGTGCTCTCAGCCAACTAAAGCAAGTGAGGCAGAATCCTTGTGCTTCTTGGTGAATGGCACCATAAAGCAAATATTTGCTCTTCCATTCATCCAGAAAGATACAGCTTTCTACAGCTCTGAAATCCTTTTATTTTATGACTCATCTTTGACATCATCGTCTATACTCTTGGTACCTGCTAGGGTAGAGCTTAAGCTATTCTTATTATCAATGTGTTTAATATGAGCTATACATGCAAATCTCTGTTCATTGATAAAAATGTTTTTGCTTCAGAGTGCTAGGTGATTAAAATTAGATAATCTATAGGAATAAATTTTGAAAAATATGATGTTTTAAAAGTTATTAAATTTGTTTAATTTTTATCGGTGATAGAAAGTTAAAGAAGGATTAAGCTAAATTTTACTGGCAGAGATAAAGTTGTTTATTCACTGTATCTTGTAACACAGAAATTAGATGCACTCAAGGATGTGTACTAAATATATTGAGCAATTTCTGTTTAGTTCTTGTGATCAGTTGTGTTGTGTACATAGCAAAACAAAGCTTCTGTTATTACTCTCAGCATTTGGTTGTTTGTCGTTGTGCACTTGCTTTGTCATGTCCAACTCTTTGCGACCCCATGGACTGCAGCATGCCAGGCTCCTCTGTCCTCCACTATTTCCTGGAGTTTGCTCAGATTTATGTCCATTGAGTCAGTGATGCTATGTAACTACCTCATCCTCTGCTGGTACCTTCTTTTGCCTTCAATCTTTCCCAGCACC